CTGCTATCTACAAGCTCTACTCACTCAGCCCGATCTGTCCATCTGTCTCACTTCCCAACAACTAGAGGAAGGGCAGGGAGAGCTCTTGAGGGAGACGGGAGCGAGGATGAGACCTAGTAGGCAGATGTGCACACACACCACATAGGCCCGGGAAAAAAAGTACTGAGAGGTATTTTCATAGCCAGATACACATAAGCGAGAGGGAAATTAAGACTCATTTATAAAAATGCTCATTTTCCCGTAACTGCTTACAACTTGATTTGTGTACTGCAAGAAGCTTCTAACATACCTTTGTTTTTAGGGTGCTGGAATAGTCATCAGCATAGCCTAATTCTGACACAATCACTACATCCTAAATTCTTCTGGCAAGAGGGCATGGTTGAGGAAATCAAGGAAACAATAAAATTAGTCCACATATATTCTTAAAAAGATTCTAGAAACAAAAATCAAATATATATTTGTGTACTCCAAGATCAAAACCTTGCTAGTTAAATATTGATCACCTAATGGCAAAAATTTCTTAAGTTTCAAATCTTAATGGCATTCCCCTCCATACAGTGTCCCGGGTTTCTTGCAATCATGATCTGGATACATATGTTGCCACAAAGATCTCTGGGAAATGCTTTTTTGGCAGCAGATATGGGAAACTATAATGAAAAACACTCACTAGCACAAATTGTGTAAAAAGATGGTTATGCTATTTCCTGAGCATTTAATAGCTATTTGCATTTATTTACACACATAAGTCACATCACAATGTTGATATAAAATGTTTCTGTTAAAAGCCTGAGGATGTGACAGGGAGAAGAGAAGAGAGAAAAAAGAACCAGTGGCTTGGGCAGGACAGAGTCAGCAGCCTCTCATTCTCCCCAAAGCATTTCAAAAACTATCTTTCTCATAGGGATGACTTCAATTTTTTCCACCTCATAAAAGGAAAGGAGATAATTCTTGACTGGAGAGGAATTATCTTTTTTTTTTAAAGATTTTATTTATTTGAGAGAGAGAGAGCAAGAGAAAGCATGATCGGGGGAGTGGGAGAGGGAGAAGCAGACTCCCCACAGAGCAGGGAGCCCGATGCAGGGCTCAATCCCAAGACCCTGGGATCACGACCTGAGCCAAAGGCAGATGCTTAACCGACTGAGCCACCCAGGCGCCCCTGGAGAGGAATTATCTTATGACATGTCTTGAACCTCTATTATTTCCCCACTTTTCTTTTTCTTCCTTCCTTCCTTCCTTCCTCTCTCTCTTTTTCTTTCTTTCTTTCTTTGAAAGCATGAGTGGGGAGAGGGACAGAGGGAGAGGGAGAGAGAGAATCTTAAGCAGACTCCATGCTCAGCACAGAGCCCAATGTGGGGCTCAATCTCATGACCCTGAGATCATGACCCGAGCCGAAATCAAGAGTCAGGTGCTTAACCAACTGAGCCACCCAGGCACCCTTATTTCCCCACTTTCCAACACATGAGTGAAAAGAGGACGGGGATAGTGACTGCCCTTCTGAAGATAGGTAGGTCTGAGGTTGGCCCAGATCCAGGCTCCACAACCAGGTCACAGTCAATGCCGCATGCACCACATCGCCCACCTGGAGCTCAAATGCAGTGCTGAAATGCATTGGGTTGCATGTGACCACTTTTTCTTCCACAGCATGAGAATGATTTATGAGGGAGGAGACAGAAATGGCTGAGATCTGCAAAACAGTGTCTTCTTACCGCCTAAGAACCCCCTGCTCACACCTGACTAACCCAGAAACACGGGAAATTTGCGGGATTCTAAAAAGACTCCTAGTCAACAGACTGTAGAAGGCAAAATACTCCTTTCTTTGGCCTGAGATTAAGACCCTTTTGAAAAGAGCACTTTTCTTCACATGAAAGGAGCCATTCATGTGTTGGGTGTTTCACAGGTCCCAGGGTCAGAATGTAGGCTGATATATTAGGTAGCAATACCTGACTCCCTTCTTAACAAGGCCAGCATTTGTTCCGTTGAAGTGGCTAATACATGCACCTTCAAATCCCTTACTCAGTTTTTTACTAACTACAAAACTCCCCCCAAAGTATTACATTGTTTTCCTGGGTTCTCAGTGCTAGAAAAGAGGCAGTGTTTCTATTTTCTTCTTATACTGACATTAGGGCTTGGCTTTTGACAGTTTAAACTCAGTAAGAAACGCTAGAATTTTGAAGTATTGCTTTTATTCACTCATTAAGGAACAAAGCCCCTTTCCAAAATAAATAGACTTGAGGTCTAGACTGGGGAAGCCTTGAAGGAGTAAGGCCAGGCATAGAAGAGCTGTCTTTCAAAGCTCACAAAACAGTGCAGAGGTACAGAGTGGCTTAGCTACAACTTGAGGGGATAAATGAGATCATGGATATTGGTGTGGGCTGGGAATTGTGTCCCCCACTCCTGCCCCTTGCATATGTCGAAGTCTTAACCTTCAATACCTTAGAATACACCTGCATTTGGAAATAGGGCCTTTAAAGAGTTAATGAAGGTAAAATGAAGTCATATGGGCAGGCCTTAATCCAATATGACTGGTGCATTTATAGAAAGAGATGACCATCTGCAGGCCAAGGAGAGAGGCCTCAGAGGAAACCAACCTGCTAACACCTTGATCTTGGACTTCTAGCCTCCAGAGCTGTAAGAAAACAAATTTCTGCTGAGACACCCAGTCTAGGGTATTTTGTTATGGCAATCCTAGAAAACTAAGATTCGAAGGTGCTTGGCGATTTGTGGAGTATTTTACAAATGCTAGTTATCATCATTATTATTAGGAGGGGTATCAGGGTGGAGCCAGGGAGTGGAAACCAGCCTGGACATACAGAAGGAACACATATCAATAAAAATGTATTAAATGCTGACTATGCCCTTGGGTATATGGAGATGAACGAGATAGGCTTTTTGACCTGTAGCAAATGTAAACATGACACGGAAGATACTGAAAGAACTCGAGAGGCTCAGGGAGAAGGCAGTTACTTCTGCTTGTTGGGGGTGGTGAGTGGAGGTGGGGGAGAGGAGTTTACCAAGGTTTCATGAAAAGAGAGTGGTATTTAGAGGCTCAAAACCTGAGTAAGACTTTGCCAGGCAGATGCGGTGGGGGCAGAGGAGGAAACGTAATCAAGGGCACTCACGTGGGTAAGTGTGCTGTGTCTAGGAAAAAGCCCACAGTGTGATGGCGGGACAGAAAACACAGGGAGAGGCACCTGGGTGGCTCAGTCATTGGGCATCTGCCTTCGGCTCAGGTCATGATCCCAGAGTCCTGGGATCGAGCCCCGCGTCAGGCTCCTTGCTCCCTGGGAAGCCTGCTTCTCCCTCTCCCACTCCCCCTGCTTGTGTTCCCTCTCTCGCTGTGTCTCTCTCTGTCAAATAAATAAATAAAATCTTAAAAAAAACCCACACACACACAGGGAGAATGCTGGTGGAGGAGTCTTACAGAGAGGGTTGGTGTCAACTTGTGGAGGACCTTGAGTGCTGTGTGAAGGGATTTGGGTGCCAGCATGTAAGCGATAGTGAAGGCAAATGTGTTCTTCTTTTTATTCTCTCAACATTTCTTTACTTTCTGCTGTGATCTGTTTTTCTTACATTCATTGCACACCTTCACCCAGACTTCAAGTGTCTCTTCTCTCCTGGTCCACCAGGTTCCATCAGCCAAATTTCTCCTTAAAAACCATCTTTTCTAGAGGCTTAAGTGATTTTCCACTGATGCCCACCCTTGAAAGGTGAGTGGTAGCCTGGATGTCTTAGACCCTGAGCAAGCTTTGCCACCAATTTGATGGATCTTTTAGGGCAAGTCATTTTTGCAATTTTGTTAAGAACTGACAATAGGATCACTCACAGAGATCAGCCAAAGTGTGTTGGGGTCTCAAAAAACACTGATTGACTGCATGAATAGAATGTGTCCAAAAGCTGATGTATATCCCATTCTCTGGCCTGACCATTCTCTCTTTCCCTCCCTTTTTTTTTGTATCTGAATTAAAATAACATCTATCAATTATGGAACATGGCCAAATAGTTAAAGACAAGTTATGAGATTAATTAGAAATGCATGCCATTCCTTAGAGAAATTTCAAGAGGAACCTTTACTGACTCATGTTTATATATCACAGGGAAAAATGAAAGTCACATTCACCCTTTATTCAAAATAGTCCTCATCACATATACTCAAATAGCTGTGCAGAACCTTTTGACTACGGTGGGAAAGCTAAAGCTAAATTATTCGTCTGAACAATTAGGTGGTGGAAGAATGGGCTAAATGTCTACAAAGGCAGAAAGAGTCATCACCAAATTTTCTGCTCCTGCATACCAACTTGTAAATTAGAAGTAAATGTATATGCCTCTGATGTCTACCTCTATCTGTGGGACACTAATAAAAAGCTTCCATTTTGATCAAGTTAGTTTTTATGTTCTTAGAATTCACTGTGAATTCTAACAGATTTTTTAAAAATTTATGATCTAATTTTAATTATGGAAAGACAATTCTTAGAGAAACAGTCTAAAGGAAGTGATTAAAAGCAAGAGCTCTGGTATCAGATGACCTTGGTTCAAGTTCTGGTTCTTTAGTTTGTAATGACCCTGTCCAAGTCATTTTAATCTCTTTGCACTTTTGAGGATCTCTGTGAGGATTAAATGAAATAATCTGGGCAAAATGTGTGCTTAGCACAATAGTGGATGAATACAACAATCTGTGATATAGGAAAGAACATTCCCTGCCAAATGCTGGACCTTAAAAGTGAGTCGACAAGACAAGCCATATAGAATGCCAGATACAATTCTCATCCATAGCTACAATTTCTCTGGTCAGTGGACAAGAAATGATAGTGCTGACATAATTGGTAAACCACAATCAGAAAAATCAGTCCATTTACATTTCAAATGGCTCAGAAGAAGCTGACTTACAGAGCTGTAGCAGGAAGCTAACAGTTCAGGGAATTTGTGTTAATAGGAAATATTTTTGAACCTTGAAGCAAAACACATGTTTATACTTAGGTAGAACAGTTTCTTTGGGGTCTTACCACTTAACTGTGAACTTCAGTATTAAAATCCTTAGGCCAGCTTTGCACAGTAAGACAAAGACATTTCAGAATGGTGCTGAGGACAGTTAGTGTAAAAGCTTGCTCCTCAAACAGAATGGTGGAATGTTTGTTTGGTGGTCTAGGTGCTAAGCCAACCTGCCACATGGATAATTTCTCCTTGGAGTAAATGGGTCATGTGTCCCAGAACCAATGTGGGTAACATCTTGTCTGCTTCCAGCAATGTCTGGAACTCTAAAATGCAAAAACAGAAAAATGATGAGTTTTCACTGTTGACCTTGCACAGAGCAGGTGCACAATCAATAGCTGTTGAATACATTTATCTACACTGCAAAGTCAATTTCTTTGGGGGTGGGATAGGGATAAAGATTCTTGTATCTTGTACAGGTCTGACAGCCAGTGAGAATCCATTGTGTCTGGTTCTGTAGTATGTTTTGCCTGAGGAGTTCTCCATTATCAGACCAAATGGAACTAATGTTAAAATATTAGGTCTTTTCTGGTTTGTAATCTTAGCAGAAATTCTACTTGTAACATGATTGACATGAAAATGCCTTTCCCTAGGTCTTGAAGTGATGTTCAGGTTGAAGTTACTTAAAATAAAACACAGGAAACCAACCCTAAAGAAACATTTAAGACAAAAATCTAATGATGATAAAAATCAGCATTATCATTTGCTGTTAGTTTGGTAATGTTAATCATAGAAGAGAAGCATGAGATACTGTACATTATAAATATGGGATTGGGAGAAATATTAAGTATATGTTTTTATCAATAAATAATAAAAGCACAAGAAGAAAACAAAAATATTTTCAAATATCATCCAACTTCTACATACAATAAAAATTTCTCCTATGGGAGAATTTCTCTAAACTGAGAAATTCTCATGTAACTAAAACAATCATGAAGTTGCCACATTAGACTAATGACCTTTAGTTATAATTGGATAATTGAATTTTAAATTGTCAAGAAAATGGAACTGAAATTCATAAAACTTGCCAAGAGAATAACTCTTTGATACACATTTGACAATCTGAAAAATACCACAGCTTAAGAAAAATGAACCTGCTATTGCATTATCCAAGGGCAAAGCAAGCACTTGAATATTCCTTTTCCCTGCCATGATCTCAGGGTTAAAAAACAGCTCAGCCACTTTTGTTGAATTTGTGGTGCATTTGCTTTAAGTCTCCTTTAGGGTAACATTTTATCAGTTAAGATTTTTATGTGAGTCCTGTACCTCATATAAGGATCATTTATAGCTAACTTTCTTATTGTAATGACATTTCATGATATACTCACAATGATGCCCAATCTCCAATCATTAATTAAGAGTACAGAGGAAATAAGCAAATTATTTAACTGGATAGAAATTAGAATGCATTAAGAATTAAATATTTGGAATGTCTGTCGATTAAAAAGACTATCCATTCCTGAATTTATTCCACATTGAAAATTTTTGACACTAGAGGCAGTATTGACAGAAGTAGGGCTGATCGATATTGAACCTTAAGGGTCAAAGGACTCCATGCTTAGTGTAATAAGCAACCTAGTTAAGGTATCACAGTGTTTCGGTATAGTAACAGTTATTAAGGGTCAGGCAAGGTTTCTTTGATAAACTCTAATTTGGGGAGGCTTGCATAGTTCCAGAGTCTCCAAAGGCATGAGATAGTATGATTGAAGCAAGACGATGGCTTGGAAATAAATAAAGAGAAAGTGAGTCATTACACTCAAAGTTGAGGAATTAGATTATTTCCACTCCCCACATTCAAATCCCATCTTTTCTTAACATCCCCACAGAACTTTTATGAAATCTCTAAACCTAGGAAGCTTTAGATGAGAGGTAAATCTCTTTTAAGTTTTGAAATGGCTTGAAATCTTTATTTTTGAAAATTATCTAGCACATTCAAGTAGGCTATAAATTATAAATACTACCAAAGGGAGCTCTGTATCTCTTCAACCAGATAAGGTGCAATGAAATCTCAGAAACACCCCCTACACTTTCCACTTAGTTGTGTGCAGAACATTAGTACCACATGGAAATCATTATTCTTCACTCAAACATACTTGATCATATTGGCCTACTGAATTGCTTACAGTTTGGTTTTCCAGCAAATCTGACTTTTAATGTAACTAAGAGATAGTTTTTAATTATTTATTTAAAATTTTGTTGGACACATTGGATTCGAATTTGGAAAAAAGCAAGCAATAACCTAAACATATGCCAATTTTTTTATAATAATAAAACAATGATGAAATAATCATATAGACGTAAGTGTGTGTTGCCTGGCCTGGCATTTAACAACATAATTTATTTCCTTATTGTTATTTTCTTAAATTAATGTAAAACTTGAAAATTAACATGGAAAAGTTTAAGATTATGGGTTTGAAAGAAATGATGGCATATCTGAACATAGAAGAGGAGGAGCAAAGTGCTAACTCAAGTACTTTCTACCTACTGAGCCCCATATAAACACTATTCTGACTCTTCGAGTCCTTCCTGGGCAGACACTAAGTGCTCTGCCCTCTGTGACCTTTCTTCTAGAATTCAGAATGTATAGATACATTCAAACAACAGAAGTGGGCATTGATCAGTCAAGGAAGAAGCTGTGCACTTTCAGTTTCCATTACATTAAACAAAATACTCATTAGTGCTTGGCATTTTCCCAAGCAGACACAATCTAGGTGTCCACTGAGGCCTCATTGTGCAGTTAAGAAGTTTAAAAAGACCTTCTAGACATCAGCTAGGGACAATTAAGGGATGGGTAAAACTACTCCAGGGTAAGAAGGCTGAAATTACTGGAAACAAACACACATAGAATAGCAACTGCAAACTAGACAAACTATCTTTAAGATCAGTTAAATATTCAAAGAGACAAAGACTAAAGATCCCTTTGCTTAAAAATCATTATCCTCCTTAATGAAACCACAATACACCTACTGTGGGAGTATTCAGTTATATTAAAACAAAATCACGTCTAGATATGTGGTAGAAAAAACATAATCTGATGGAAACCTGTCACCACAACGTAATTATTCCTATCGTTTACCCAACAAGGAAACTAAGTGCTACTATTATTAAGAGGTCATAATAACGTAAGTTAGCTCTGAAATCCATATCCATTAAAACTGTTGAAACATGTTTTATTGCTAAACGTCCATTCCCAGATCCAAAACAGCTTCCAGAAAATGTTAGAGAACAACTTACATGCAGGTCAGACTGACGAACTGTTTTCCCAAGTGTTTCCTTCCCTTTTGCCTTGCTTTCTTCCATCCATCCTTCATCCAGCAAGCATTTATTAAGTACAGTCTGTGTGCCAAGTTTAGGGGCCACAATAGTGAACAAATCCAACAAGGGTTAAGTATACATGAAGTTACAGGCTAGCACCCGAAGCAAAAAATTTTATATGATTTCTGTTGCTGTTGGTATTAAAACAACCATATTTGAGAAATTTTCATGCAAGACCATTAAAATGAGTTCAGTTTCAAAAATCATTCACATTACCTGTTTCTCACCCTCTGGGTAGGGGAATTGGAAGAAAAGCTTTTCGTGACACAATTTCTCTTATTTTAAGGAGACATTTATTTTTCCACTTAGGCTGATGCAACCTAATCTACCAGCAAGTTGTAGGAACAAATATCAAATATAAACTCTTTCTCAAAGGGATGCTGTGCTATTTATTCACAAGGAATGTATGAAAGAAGAAGAAAAAGGAAAGACCATAAGCTTAATATGGAACATGAAAACCTCCTTGAGGTTGCTACAATATACTCTCCCTGCTTTTTAACTCAAAGATACCATTTTACCAGTACTTAACACAGATCTTTAAATCCCAGAGCTAATAATGCTTCCCAGCTACATACAGCTGGATGCATCTGACAAGCAGCATGTAGTAGGAACCTCACAGGGGATAAGGTTCCTAACAGTCAACTAAGAGTTCAAATCCCAAAAGAGGTGCCCCTGGTGTGCAGAGCACTTAACCCTTCGACCAGTACCAACATGACTATTCACAAATTATTGATGTCCCTAAATCCCTGGCAGATTGCAGACAGTTCTTCTATCCATTGAAGCCCAGGCATATGGTCACTAATGGGATGGCTTAAAAAAAATACACACATTCAGTCTTTGCTACATGAATATAAAGCCACTGAAATGCTAGAAGGTGATTGAACTGGATGGAACACTGTTAAATACATGCTTAGCCGCATGTTATGGATCATTTCCATTGACATCTATCTGCGTCCTTGGTACAGTTTAATTAAAGCTGTCTGGAACAAGTCTGCCCTCCAAATGATCGTCAGTGCAATGAAAAGGTGAAACACGAGGAGGCTTGAGGCCTTTTTTGTAAAGCATTCAAAAGACTGTCTCTGCGGTTACAAATAGCAGTGGGAGAGAAATTCATTTTCAAAATTAACCAGCCATAAGACTTTTTTGCGAGAGAAAGTGGGGCTCCTTCTGATGTCATCCTGGAGTACCAGAAGCTGAATTAGGTAATGCCAGATCTTAAGAACTCAAGCTGGGCCATGTTCTGGTCTAAAGTGGATACACTTTTTTTGGTCCTAAAGTAGTAAATTCTACAGCAAGCTTGCATGTTTGTAATTTATTTGGCAAAATAGAACTGCCAAATGAAACAATTTTGCCTAAAGTAGTCTCTTTTATAAGACAATTTTGCAGCTAGAAGGCAGGAACATCATTTATTTAATTAGGTTTTATAGTATATAGAACACTAGCAGAGCAAGTAAGTAGCTTCAAACAATTAAGATATTTATTGAATACCTTTTATATTTCCGGTGCTCTTACGGAACCAGAGAAACAAAATAAAATACTTGGGGTTTAAGAAATGTGGGACATAGGGGTGCCTGGGTGGCTCAGTTGGTTAAGCGACTGCCTTCGGCTCAGGTCATGATCCTGGAGTCCAGGATTGAGTCCCGCATCGGGCTCCCTACTCGGCAGGGAGTCTGCTTCTCCCTCTGACCCTCCTCCCTCTCATGCTCTCTGTCTCTCATTCTCTCTCTCTCAAATAAATAAAATCTTAAAAAAAAAAAAAAAAAGAAATGTGGGACATAGTTTAGAGACTGAATCTTAACTAATTATACCTACTTCCTGTGGCACTTTCTCCCCTTTAATATGATTTTATTTGAAGAGATGTAAATTATACTTGCTCTTTAGTACCAGAATTAACTGTACTTTATGAAAGGGTCCAAAGGACTGTGCCATGTTTAAAATTTCCATTCACTGCTTCTCCACACAAATCCATCAGTCATGATATAGGTTTATCCTTTTCATTTTTTTTTTTAAAGATTTTATTTATTTAACAGAGAGAGAGATAGCGACAGCAGGAACACAAGCAGGGGGAGTGGGAGAGGGAGAAACAGATTTCCCGCTGAGCAGGGAGCCCGATGCGGAGCTCGATCCCAGGACCCTGGGATCATGACCTGAGCCGAAGGCAGCTGCTTAACCGACTGAGCCACCCAGGGGCCCCTATCCTTTTCATTTAATGTTTATTTGGTATCTACTTCATATACAACATTGAGTTATAGCTTGTGTCCTTCCCCCACCCCCAAATGCCTCTGTCTCTCTCTGTCCATTATAATATGTTCATCCAGACTGGTGAAAGGTAATAGTAACACTGAACAGAAGAGCACTCCTAAATTCAGTTGGGATGCCATTCAGGAGTGCAGATTGTCTTAGCCTTGATACCTAATAGAAATTAGACCTAGAAGATATTATAGTCAACAAATAGGTTATAAGTTAAAGCCAATGAATCAGGGCAATATGTATTGAGTGCTGACTGCACTGGCATTGTGCTGGGAACTCTGGGGATGAGGGACCAGCAGAAGCATTCTCAACAAACAGCAAACTGGGAAGATGTACACATTGGAAGTCACCCAGGAACGGTGGAGTTGGAGGACCAAATCCTAGAGTGACGTTGAAAGGCTTTCTGAGGAAGAAAGAGCTTGAGCTGTCTTTGAAGAATGAGGCCAGTTGTCCAAGCCAAAAATATAGTGACAGGAACATGGCGGGTAGAAGACCAGCTAGGAAATTGTCCTGCTTTGGGTGGATGCTTTGTGTTGAGGACTATATCTCTTGGGGTCTGATCAGGAGACTAGAAACCACTTTAAGTATTTAACACAGAAGAAATTTAATACAGGGAACTGATTTTACAGGTGATGACCTGAGATGACCAACAGGAGACAGTGTGGCAATTAAAGATGAGCAAGTTCAGGAAGCTGCCAGCAACACTTGGGGTGGAAGAACAAGGGAGAAGATAGAGTTTCTGGAGCTCGGAGACCAGGGCCACCCAGCAGAGGACAGAACTTGAGAAGGCCTAACCAGTAGGTGCTGGAACAATGGAGAAATACAAATGCAGTTGCTACTAGAGATCTACATGAAGCAGAGAGAAGACGGGAACTACCTGGCTTCTTCCTGTCTGTCCCCCTGCTCCATCAACTAGCAATGTCTCCCATGGACCAAGTCCAGATAGAAGCTGACAAGGAGCCTATGGAAAAAAATGCAGGGGTCAATCTCCCTATCATGCAGAATGGAGTAAATCAAAGTAAGGAATATTTATAAGAGCAAACAGGCTAATGATCAGCGAAGAGACTAATACAAAATGATGTAATATTGTTACAGCAGAACCCTATTACATAATAGGTTTTTAAAACTAGGGAGGGGAGTTTAAACAAAATAGGCAAGAGAAAGCCATTTTAGGCATCATGAAATTGGTCTTTTAGGACTATCTGACCAGAGTTTGGAAAAAGATTTGAGGCAAAGAGAGAAGTTAGGAGGGAGATTAAAGGTGGCCACCAACTCTTTGACATTCTTCTCTCTGAGAGGTGGGGTGTATTTCCTTTCCCCTTGAATCTGGGCTGGCCCGAAGAAGAAGGGATGCTGTGCCAGTTCTGGAACTAGCCTTTAAGAAGACTGGAAGATGAATACCTTGGAACCCTGATTTGCTATGTAAGAAGTTCAACCACCCTACTGAAGTGGTCACGTGGAGAGGCCCTGACTCTCCTGAGTCCACCAGACAAGCCAGTGGCCAGCTCAATTCCAGCGAGTGCCTCTCATGAATGCCACATGGAACAGAACAATTGCTCATTTGAGAATTGTCCAAGTTTTTGATCCACAAAATCATGAGATCTAAAACAATGGTGGTTGTTTTAAGTCATTAAGTTTTGGAGTATTCTGTTATGCAGTAATATGTAACTAGAACGGAGGGTATGCGATAATGTGAACATATCATCATATGCCTCCAAATTGTAGGAACTGTGAGGAGACCCCCATGTTTTGGGAAAAGACCCTAAGTTCTCTTTGTGTTTATAATGGGTTGACGAATTTTTTCTGTAAAGGGCCAGATAGTAAATATTTTTTGCTTTGTGGGCTGTATGGTCTCTGCTGCTACTATTCAACTCTATCACTGTAGGGTAGAGAAAGTCATAGACAATAGGTGTAGGTGAGTTTCAATAAACTTTATTTACAAAAACAGGCAGCTGGCCCAGAGTTGGCTGTAGATCATAGATTGCTTACTCCTGGTTTATGAGTTCAAGATGTTAAGGAAAATTCAACTGGAAATATGCTATACGTAGATGACACAGAGGAATTGAGATGTAGATTGAAGAATAGATAAATAGTCTTGAAGAGGGCCTAGGATACTGCTATTGTATCTTCTTAAAGTCTACTTCATTATTTCTTTTAAATGATACTAGGATAGTTGGTAAATATATTAGTAGGCTGAGAGATTATCTGAATTTATAAGGTGGGGCCCTTGAACCAGATGATTTATAGTCTGGAGACACACAGAGGACAAAATCAAACAGATTTTCCAATATATGAATAGTAGTCCTGGGTCCACTGTTAATGGTTTTCAAATTTATATAATTTCAACCCAATGTGTTTTATGAGTAAACTGGACTCTTCTAGAGCCATTCTTTTAAGTGTGACTAACATCCTTCTAATTTTTAATTTATATCATATTTATGATTTATTTGCACAATTATGAGTTTGGCAGTATTTCTTGCTTGCATTTGTAAAGCATTTACAACATTAATCTCAAAGTATTTATATCCCAAACTATCCTGAAAAGTCAATGGTTATTTTCCATAATTTATGATACATTGAAGGCATTTTATCATGCTATTTACTGTTATGTCACAGGAAAAAAGTGTGACCTTTGAAGAAATAAAACAAGCAGCTTTTTAGTTCTCCTGCATATCTGTTAAATTTATGGATATTTATTTTAGGCTTTATAAAAATTCTATCAGACAGCTGAACAATTTAGAGTCACACAGCATGTAAATTCTATTAAACAAGGGCTCTTTACCCTTTCACCTAATGCCCTACATGTGCTTGGTACAGAGGTACAACTCTTCAGAACAAACACTAATAGTCTGCTTAAAATCCTTAATATAACTGATGCAGGTATGCTAGAGGATACTAGTGAATATTCAAAGGGGTTTTTATCCATTTAAGGCAAGAATGGTCGAGCAATTCTGTTTTTGGCCTCAAAAAGAGCAACCTGTTTAAGAGGTGAAGCCTTCTTATAGTTCCTGC